GGGAATTGATAGTGTTGATGCATCATCTTTTTTCATATTGAACAATGAGAAAAGTAGGACTAGTGGACATAAAATATAAATTTTGGCAAGGTAGGAGTCATCTTCAGCTAAGACTGTTTCATTTTTCTAACAGGGTGTTTGGCCTTTATGGCAGTTTTTCATCTGAGTTTGGATTTTGTCTGATGGATAGGATATCCCAATGCTTTTGGGAGTTATCACCATAAACAATTTCCGTTATGACTTCTAGGATACGACTTGAAATTACAATGGACATTATAAAATAATTTTATAGCTTAACATATATATATATATATACAAATACAAGGAAACAAATATATTTTGCAGAAGGAAATGAAACAATATAATACTATGAAACAATATAAAAATAATTTTAAAATATTCTTAAAAACTCTATTTATTACTGTTAATTTAAAATAAATAAATAAAACCAGAAGAAAAAGACGGGCAAACAATGGGAACTTAATGAATAAAAGGATATATATATATGATAGTAGAAGAGAAGATAAAAAACGTGTTTTCTCCAGTAGAGACCTTGAAAGTGTTGAATTTGAGATCACAATATTTGTCAGGAGAAAAAATGAAACTTGTAAAGAGAGAACTTACTTTTATCCCAAATAATGAACTAGATGAATTTAGAATTAAAGAAGATATACATGAATTTATTTGGAAATTAAGATTAACAATATTTTAAATAATAATGATGGATCCTTGAAAAGAATATAAGGTAATTTTGTACCATCAAGAAAAAATCTAAAACGTGATATATTTTGTAGTCATATAGAAAATACGTGTTGTAAAATTCTTCAAGTTAAAGACAATATTCCAGTAAAAGAAAGAAATTCATAAAAACTTAAAAATATGGAAGAAGTTTTCATTCAAATAAGTGATAAAGATAATGTTTTTGTTATTGTGGATCAAGAGGATTATGGTTTTAGAACATTTAAATGATAAAGATATGTCCTCCATAGATATTTCAAAATTTGTAAATATAATAAAAGAAGTTAAAGAATATATAAAAGATTATATATATGTATATACTAACAAAGAAATTGATTATTTGATGAGTAATCATAAACTAGGAACATTTTATGTATTACCAAAAATTCATAAAAGTAAAGAAGTTAAAGAAATTTCAGAAAAAGATAGGGTGGAATGTCTTTGGATAAATTGTCCTCCCAAAATTTCTGGAAGACCAATTATAGGTGTAAAAAACAAGGTGATTAAGCCACCGAGTTCTATTATAGACATAATTTTAAAACCACTTACATCTAAAGTACAAAGTTATATGATAGAAATTTATTTTATTAATCACTTACAAAAGAAAATATTTAAAAAATAGTATTTTAATATCATTAGATGTTGTTTTTCTTTTATCCAAGTATGAAATATGAATATGATATAAAAACTATTGCATATCATTTAGAGAGATGCCCAGATTTGTTAAACCCACGTTTTAATAAAGAGGTGATAATTAAGGGTTTAAACCATATTTTAAAATAATTACTATTTTAGTTATAAAGGCAATATACATCAACAAATCTCTAGAACATCATTGGAAACAAAAGTGGCTCAAGCTTATGTCACTTTAGTGATAGGATATTTTGAATTTGAAATGTTCAATAGTTTATCATATTATTTTCAAAGTATTTATATTAATTACTTGAAGCAAAATTGGGAAATATAGAGGATAGAATCAGTCAGTTTGTTTTCATGAAATAGTTGGACCTGTGTTTCCTATCATGCTTAATGTTCAATAGTTTATCAAATTATTTTCAAAGTATTTATATTAATTACTTGAAGCAAAATTGGGAAATATAGAGGATAGAATCAGTCAGTTTGTTTTCATGAAGTATTTGGACCTGTGTTTCCTATCATGCTTATTGAATTACTTTATACAAGTTAGTTAACGCATTTGTATGTAGGCTTACAACAATTTATGGAAGTGTTTGTTTGTTTTGTCTTTTGTAATTAAGCACAAAGCTACACAATGGGCTATCTTATAGCAGTGTAGAAGTGTTCAAGCTTGTAGAAAATTGAAAACAAGAAATAAAATATTTTACTGCCGTTACATGAACTGGACTTTCATCCACTGTATCGGATTTTTAGGTCCGATTTTATTGGACCCGGGAGGGTGAGATACATCTTCGACCTCCCCCCCCCCCAACAGTAGTTTTTGCTCTTTTACTTTTGTTATTTATATATATATATTACCATATCAGATATTTTAGGATCCATGTTTAATTTGTTTTATCTCTCAGATGATTTTTGGTACTTTTTATTGTTTAAAACTTCTGCTTCTTGGTATTGTAGCTTGGACGAGTTAGCACTGTAAGCTATTTCAACGAGTTTCTGGTATAATAATTTTACATAATTACATACAAATCGTTGATGTACATTTACTCAAAGCCATACGTTCATACTACAGTTCATTGCAGTAATTGTGTAATAAACACAAATAAATTTATTTTAGTGCACATAAGATAAACCCCTTTTTAAATCATTAAGTATGGTAGTAGTAAGGATGATGATGAAACAAAATGGCAGCCATAAAAATCACCCGTTTAATACCACCTTTAAAATGTCTGAGTATTAACAATGACTATTTCAAAGTATCGACTGAGCAAAACTAAAGTTTATTGCACTTATAAAGCCGCATAAATCATTGTATATGTGTTTATGGAGTGAATCAAAATTTCACTATTTCAACAAATTTGCATCTAAGTAAGTAAGTGACTTTTCCAAACAAGCGTGCAGAAAATATGACGAAACTTATCACTCTAATTCTTTCACGGAACTCATACTTGGTATTGCTGGTGCACAAAAATATAGTTATTAAAAAGGTTTGTTTGTTTGAAGTCAAGCACAAAACTACACAATGGACTATCTGTGCTCTGCCTAACACGGGAATCGAAACCCAGTTTCTAGCGTTGTAAGTCTACAGACATACCGCTGTGCCACTGGAGGGATAATGAAAAGGAAACAAATAAGTATAATATTTTTTTAAATTATATATAGACAAGTAGGGATCAATATACACGTAACATAGTTAGCTATAGTAACATAAAAATTTTTAATGCTACAAAAAGTATTGAAACAAGAAAGTCAAAACTACAAAACTGAATTACTTAAAATTTAAAACAATTTATCCCTACTTTTGCTGAGACTAACATAAATACAGTGATTACTAAAGTATGTATAAAATTTGTAAAATTTTAAGTAACTCAGTTTTTGTAGTTTTGACTTTCTCGTTTCAATAATTTTTGTAGCATTAAAACTTTCTATACTATTATACCTAGATAGGTTGTGTATATATCGAACCCTATTTATCTTTATAAAATTTAAAATATTATTATTATACTTGTAAATTTATAAATATATCGGAAAATTTGAATTATTTTCACCAAATAATTCAAAATAAACAACTAACGAAAGAATAATGTCACAACTGTTCAATATTTAAAGGGAATATGTGAGGCCAAAATAAAATGTTTAAATTTATATTTTTATCTATGAACTATAACTTGCGAGGTGTAAATGTTTTCCATGATACAAATTTAATAACTGTGGAAGTAATAAAAATGCTGATTATCCACCTGATTTGATATGCTGTAGAAGTTTGATCAAAGTACAGGCTTTCCTCCCTCCAATTATGAAATCCTGTCGCACAAAATAAACTGGAAAAGTTTTGATTTAGCTGCGCCAATTTATTCTTTATTACCATTTATCCAAGAATCAAAGAAGACACTGGGCTTTTAAGTCATTTATGAATTATTTCTTTTATTCAAAAATTTCACGTTTCAGTAAGGAAAAGATAAATTCACAAATAAATTACTAGTTATTCTGCTGATTAATAATGACTACTTTCAACGGGTAAAGTTCACATGTTATTTAATACCTACACTACAATATTTCAAGCTATTAGTATTGAGTATAAGCCAACAAACTAACTGGTTGTTCTGACAACGTTAAATAGTTTCCCAAAATTATTTGTGTTGATGAAAACCTAAAAAAACAATTTGTTGTCCTGACGACGTTAAGTACCTTCCCAAAATTCCACGCAGATTATACATTACATCACCAGCGTGTTTGTGCGTCATAAGTTTCAATTGTATATATCACTCAATATTAGTAATGGCAATGATAAGGGGTTTGTTTATAAACTGCCATCTTATTACTGATAGCTTTGTTGCAAAAGTGTGGAAAAGTAAACATACAAACCTCAACATACGCTAATTTGCAGAACTATTTTAAAAGAACAGTAAAACCTAGATGGAATGTTAATATTACTGCTGTGAAGAGATTGTATAGCTGCAACAATCTAATCTCATCTAACCTGCCTTGTTTTAAATTTAGGGTAATTGCTAGTGCTGCAGCTAAACGCAGTAACATTGTAGGTTATTCTGAGAAGAGAATGTTTAATACGAAAATTCAGCGGGTTACGTTTAACTCGCTGTCCAACTTTGGAGACATCCTTGGTCCAAGTGTGATTCCCACTAGGCCTAATGGACTACTTTTTTCTACACAAACTCCAGGAACAAGCTTAACTAAGGAAAATTTATCTCCCGAAGACTTACAGAAATCCATAGATCACTTAGCTGAAGAATTTGCAGAAACCTTAGCTTTACTAGATGATGCTGTAAGTGTGATAAATAAGGGTGAATGTTAATTTTGAATATGTAATTGTAATTTAACATCGTCAAGTTTTCATAAACAAGATACGTAACTTAGTGAACACCTTTTACTTTACTTTTATTTCCTAAAATCAACACTGTTAATGTTATTGAGTTTATAATATTGCAATACTAGTGTTACTGATTTATTATAAGAATTGTTGTTTTTAATTTATAGTTTTACTAACAACACGTTTGAGAAATATGTAATAACACATTTAAATTTTAATGGGCTTATTTGTAATTGTATCATATGTTGTTAAAATAATTGTGACATCCAAATAATTAAAAGAGGTACACTGTTTACTTGTTTACTTTTGGATATGTGAAGCATAATATTTATGGTTACAATGTTTCACTTAGTTAACCTGTTGAACCTGATTTTACTAGGTTAACCTGGTGAAATGCTGTAATCATAGATATTATACTGTATGTGCAACAATAAACAAGTTTTCAATTGTGACGTCCATTTTAATTTTCTGTTGTCATGTGAATTTGCTTTGCATATGTTTCAGCTGATTGAAATTGTGTTAGGTAATTGTGTTTTTGTTCTGATTTTTGATGTCATGACTTGTTTGACATAATTCAAAATAATGTTTAAAGTTGAATATTTTATGCAGTACTGGTTTGATTTTGTGCTACTGATTCATACAACACTTGTTACATGTATAAGACAGCATGTTTTGTGATCTGTCTTGTGAGAAGCTATTTCATGTATGCTATTTTTAATACTGTTTATTGTGTTTCTTTATTAATTTTTAGTGACTTTTTTTTTGTACAGTACTTGTAATACTAATAGTCAGGTTTGGGAAACTGCTTGGAATAGGGTAGATCAGTGACCCCAGTCTCAGAACATTGGTGCAAGATGAGGGTTTTGAGTTTAATTTTTAAACCTTAGTCAGGACAGATTTCTTAATGATCTGACCTTTCATAATGGATTGAAAATTTCACCACAAAAAATAGAAGTTGAAATTAATTTTGTCATCTCAAGCAAAATATGAGAGTGTAACTGCCATGAAGTTGTTCATTTTCTCTACATGTAATTTGACTTGGAGTCTGTCTTTATAGATATTTGTGTAGCTGTGCGATTTAGGCAAATTTGTGCATCACCTCTTGTGTGTTGATTTGGCAATTTACCTAACTATTGCTTCACTTGTCTATTCTATCTCAAATCTACCATTTCAGTATTTCATGATACTTATGAAAACATGTTGTTCCACTAAGGTGTGAAATCCAAAGCAAACTTTAGTATATCATCAGTCTGAACTAGTGTTTGGACCAGAGAAATCAGTGTGGTTTTTATATTTGAGGCACAGGTGAACTGTTCAGCAGCTTAAGAAAATTAGTCATATTTGTACTATTCGTGACACATACAATAAATAATACAACAGAGCAACAAGTAACATTTCTATAATTGATATTTTAGCTTAATACTTAATATGAAAAGATTAATAAATCTATAGATGAAATTTTTTTAAGTATAAGAATTATCAAGAACACTCAAAATACATAAACCTCAAATCATTATTTCTCATTAGCTCTAAAATATTTAAAGTTATACTTTTTTGAGACAAAATGTATAAAGTTTCTGAACATTTAACAACAGAAGTAGATGTAAGTAATTACATTTGTAGCATGCCCTATAAAGAGCTAGATATTTATGCATGGGTAAAAAGTGTTAGCCAACCAAGGCTTCAGTTACCATATTGTAAGAATAAATATAAGACTCGGTTTTCACTTTTATCAATTCAATAGATATATATTTTCTGAATTTATCATAATATAAATTTACTGGTAACAATTTAATTTACAAGAAAGGGGATTTGTCTTGATTATAAACCATACTACATGTATTATTGAAGTATTGTTTATAATGTCACAGATTTTTAAGATGATTTTTGATCATCTCTGATTACCCAGCTAAATATTCAATGCTGAATAAAGTTGATAAGAGTACTTGTGTTACTACATAGATCAGAACTAAAACTAGTAGTGAATATTGCTAATTTAATATACTGTTATTCCTAGGAGTATGCAAAGTTATAAAACTAAAACTTGTAATAATTAGAATACATTGATTTATCCATTGGGTGTCATTGCTGTTAATGATATTTTTGATCATAACCTCAATTATATCTCATGAGGTTCAACCAGCTTTGGAGATTTATGTTAGTCCTAACTACACATACTAAGCTAATAATACAAAATAAAATAAAATAAGTTACATGTACTAAAAATATAGGAATGTAAATTTTATTTATTATTTTTTAATTAAATATTTTAGTAATACTATTCATGAAACTAATATTAAAAAATTGAACTTGCAAGACACAAAATTTAGTTGTTTGCTTCTTGCATTATACCAATTCCTTTTCCATGTAAATTAGAAGGTCGAAGCTTGGATAATGTATTTTTTTTCAATAACCTTAATGTAACTTACTAAATGTGGTTCTTTATTTGTGAGAGGTACTAACGAGGATTTCTTTTCAATTAATGTCATTAGTTGGGTACCAGGGTTCAGTGCTAGGATCTTTGTTCTTTTTGATTTACACCAATGACATAGATGAAGGAATGGCCAATAGATTATTTTAATTTGCTGATGACACTGAAATTTTTAGTGTTGCTGGCTGTGAAGAGGATTCTGCTGTTTTACAAAAGGATTTGAATTATTTAGTGAGTTAGACAAGTAAATGGCGGATGGCTTTTAATTATTGTACAAGGTAATGCTTGTGTGATATCACAATTTGAATTAAGATTATAATTTTGATGAGAATAACCTTAATAGTATTATGAAAGAAGAAGATCTTGGTGTGTTCTGGTTAAATAGTCTCTTAAGCCATCCAAGTAAAGTGCTGTTGCTAGTGGAGTGGCAGAGCAAATAGGATTTAGGTTGTATTTACAGCAGTATTGCTTGTAAGTCTGAAGAGGTTATAATGTCTTTGTATAGGTCATTGGTTAGGCTTTGTTTGGAGTGCTGTTGTTGGTCTTGGGATCCTTACCTTGGAGGTCTACTAGGATGATACCTGGGATGGTAAGGTTGTCATGTCATAAGAGGATAGGTTAAGACCTCTGAACTTGTTTTCTCTTGAAAAAAGGAAAGTTACAGGTGATCTGATTGAGGTGTTAAAGATTGTTAAGGAAAAGATAGTGTTGATGCCTCATCTCTTTTGGTATTTAATGGTGAGAATGATAAGGTAAGGGGACACATAAATTTTAGCAGGATATGAGTCATCTTCACCTAAGACAGTTTTAGTTCCAAGACATACTTACCATCTGCTGACACTTGTAGCTATTCCTTGACCTCCTGGGTTTCAACTTTGCCCTTCTAAGCATTGGTCTGATTTTTTTCTCACTTGCTCCAGTCTTTTATACCCCACTCAATTGCCTTTGCTGATATACTCTCCACCTATGTTAATGCACCCTTTATCCTGGTACTATATATAAGCACCTCATTCAAATAATTTTATCACTTTTTTTGACAGAGAGGTTAGACAGAGGTTTCTCTACACAAGGGCTACAATAATTAATGTGTCTTGTTGTGATTTGTGCGTCACCTAGTGGCTTTCTGTATAAATTGTATTTCATAATTGCTATTTAAAGAAAAAAAAACAAATTGCGACATGCTATTTTCAAGTATGACTTCACAGCCCTCCTCTATTTCCACCTCTGTTATCTAGCATCTCTCAGAGGTTTTGTGTGTGTGTGTGGGTGGGGGGGGGATCACTCTCAGTTGAGGCTGTTCGTGACTTTCTTTGTTGTGAGATGAAGACATATATTCGGTCCAGGGTTGTCTCTCCAGGGGGTTCTGAGGCTGATTTTGTCAATGATGCAGGACAGTCTGGTGAGAATTTAGACTTTTTTTCCCAATGCCTTTGTTTACTAGGTTGGTTTCTCACAAGGCCAATTTGTATTGGCCACCTCCTGCTCCATTTCTTCAGTTAGTCAGTTGGGTTTGTGAGGTTTGAGGGCTTTCTCCAGCTGCCTTTGTATCTACTCCTTTCTTGTTGGTTGAAAGGTCTGAGGGTGACTACTTAGTTTTTCATCCTCCACCTGATATTGCTGTTCATGCTGGGAGAGTTACTGCTCTATTACATGACAGGATAGATATATCTTGTCCCCTTCGTTTGTCTGAGTAGCATGCTTTGGCTTACCACTGCCAGGTGGATGTATATTTTGATAGGTAGTCAGGCACTTAATTACATGGATGGTTTTATCTCTTTTGGGGATGTGGGCATCCCATGAATCTCCAATTTATTCTGGATGATCATACTTGCAGTCCCTTCAGTTGTCACTGCATGACCAGTGGATCAGGAATTTCAATTCACTGGATCATCCAGTCTCCTTCATCAGGAGCAACATCTTAATTCTCGAGTGGTGGTTGGTTCAGATCAACACTACCATTGGTGTTCCTATATCACCCTCTCGTCCCGGTTTCATCTCTTCACAAATGCCTCACTTCAGGGATGTGGTTCATATATCGATGGTTAGGAATTCCACATCAATAATTTAGAACTTCTCGCTGTCCAACAGGCAATGGTTCAAGGCCTTGATCTGTTGCAGGGGAAAATCATCATGAATCATTCCATCAATTCCAAAGTGGTCTCCTACATTTCCCATCCTGGGAACACGTGTTCTCAAGACCTTTGTTTTGAACTTTGGATATTCTCTACTGGGCTCACTCCCATCTTATCAGCCTCCTGGCTTCCCACGTTCCAGGGGTGATGAATTTCATAACAGATCACCTGTTTTGGCCCAATCGAATTCTCCCAACCGAACAGACACTCCATTGTAAGGTTTTTCAGTGGATTTGCTTTTAGTTTAGGACTCCAATGATTGATGCAATTACTACTCATTGAATCTCTGAACTACAGACATTTTTGGTTCCCGGTACCTTATCCTCAAGCTTTGTTGATAGATCCATTCAGTCAAGATTGGATAGAATTGCACCTCTATGGCTTTTCCCTCAATTTGTCTATTACCCAGAGTTCTGGCTCTGATTTGATACTCTACTTGAGAGCTGATGGTAGCCCCAGATTGGCTGGCTCAACCATTGTTTCCTCTTCTACAGTATTTTCAAGAGGGTCCACTTCTGCCTCTACCTCTTTGACTATCTCTGTTGAGGCAACCTCAATCCAACATTCTACTCCCAAACTTCACATATGGAAGTTACGCAGTCCTCCTCACAGCATTAGGGTTTAACTTCTAAAGTTGCCTTATATGTGTCTCAGTCTATCCGTAGACCCACAATGTCTATTTATCAACGGAAATGACACTTATAGCCAATGGTGTCTCATGAAGAAATTGAGCCCACTTCACCCAAACATGCTCACATATCTCATTTTTTGACTCTGGTCTAGCTTCGTCTACTGTCACTTTATATAAGACAGCTTTATCAAATACTTTTTGTTTTAAACATCAGAAAGTTTTTGACTCCCCAGTGCTATCTGGTCATCTACAATTATTTAGAGTCCTTCTTACCAAATGGCCTTTTCACTTACCCAACTGGGATCTTAGGCTGGTATTAAATGCTTTGTCTCAACATCCATTCGAGCCTTTAGCCTCATGTACCATGTATCAACTTTTCTCTGAAAGGATATTTTTTGTTGCTACTGATATGTGGATGTTGTAGGTCTGAGTTTTTTGCACTATATGTGCACAGGACTCTTTATTACTCCACTTTTGTCCTGCCACACCCTGATAGGTCCTTTCTTTCTAAGACTGGCAGCCAGGGAAAGGGATAAATCCTTCTCACCAATTCTTTTGCCAGCTATTTGTCACCTCTATGACTGATCAAACACTGATCATTTGTTATGTCCTGTCAGAACCCTGAGGCATTATGGGGCTTACACTAACTCCTTTCGCAGTGATGGAACTTGACTCTTTTATTCATTGGGATCCTTCAGTTTCCCAAGATTTATCCCCAATTACTTTGACAGAATGGCTTCACAAGTTGATCTATATTGCTTACTCTGGACTTTCTTTACAGGTGAGGAAACTTCTGAGAGTCACATCTCTACAGATTCGTCACATTTCTATGTCTTTAGCTGCTGTTTGAATTACCCGCTAAAAGACATCGTACAGGAAGGTATGTGGCCTTCTTCCAATACTTTTCTCTCACATTCTTTACACGATCTGGCAGTTTCTTCTTCTGAGAGTTTGTAACTACCCCCTGTGGCTGTTTTGACAACATCTGCTAGATTATAAGGAGGAGTGAGTATTTTTGTCCACCTCTTGTCTCTTCACTTTCCAGGGTCCCTTACCTCTTTTTTTTTCACTGGATCCCACTCTGTGGCAAGGGTTGCCCAGACAGGTGTGCTTTTATCAATCCAAATTTGCAATAGCAAAAATATTAACTATACTTATTACCAGTTGCAACAGGCTCTGTAGAAATGAGGTGTTCCATAAGACCATCTAAGAGTTCATCAGATGGTATTGCCATATTATGCTGGACTGCCACTCATGGACTATCATGAGTAAAGCTAAAGGGGATCCAGCCTGTCGCTGCTGATCATTGGATTGAATAAATCAGAGTCGGTTTGCTTTTAAAAATTTAGGGAACTTGGTTCACCTATTGCACTGTTTGCAGAGCACTGTTCCTCAGGACTGCCCAATGCGCATTACCCCCCAGATTCTATTAGTGGAGCTAGGGAGTCCTTACCACACCCAGTTTCCAGTCACTGGGGTGGTGGACAGAGGCTTTTCCTCCACTCTTGGAGATGAGGGCAAAGTTGGGGCCCTCCTGCCTGGGTCCCTGGATGTTTTCCTAGATGTTGGTAGGAGTGGCACCAGCCTCCGCAGGAGCCTACTCGTAATACTGGTTCAGATTTGACAGCTATCCGATTGGGGTGTGTGCATGGCCCTTTTTTTATCTACATTGGTTCAGTATATTGGTCATGGAAGGAGGTCCACTATCTCTTTGTAATTCTGAATGCGGAGTGGTCCCATCCTGGGCCCTTGGTTGAGCACAGTGTTCCATGTCCTCTCTATAATTCCAGGAGCAAGTGGAATGCGTCTTGCCCACTCATTGGGGAGTGAGGATGAATGTTCATAATTACAGACTGGATGAGTTCTGTTCCTTTGGCTGATTAAGGCATACATGATCCTGTCATTTCGAGCCTGGGGTGTTGCCTTTCAAACTTTTTCAGGTGGAGGAGAAAGTGTGTCCACTTAGGTGTTGCTTACTTTCTTGTCATGATTTCGGTGGTTTGGAATGCATCACTTGGTGGCTACAGGTTAGGATCCAGTCAGATCTATCATGTTGCGCTCCAGTTGCATTATCCATGGGATATAGGAACCAAGACCCCTTAATTCCAACACCAAGTTGTGAAACCTCGGCTATCTGGTTGAGGCTGGCCTATAATGATGATTACTCATGT